TCCAGGTTGCGTAAGGGTCAAACTGTCTCTGGGGCCTGCTGTGCTACAGGTGCTAGAAGCCATCACCGGCCACTTACCGTCCCACTTAACATCGTCTACCACCCTCCCGTAAACTTTGAAACGTTGTGCTGCGTCCGCCTTCTACTATTCATCGAGGGTTTTGTGAGGAACAGCAGCTTTACTGTCACCAGCCAAGTTTAGCTGGCAGTGTCATCCTTTATACTCTGTGAGTGATAATAAAACACATCTGAAATCAGCAGAAGCAGCCCTCGGAGAGAGCTGATGAGGCAGCACTCTGAAGGGCGAGTTTGGATTATTACCAAACTTTTTCCTGTTAACGACTCTCCCCTTCCTGTGAAAATGTTCATATAAATGTCGCTTTCTTTGCAGCTTTGTGGGGGCAACTAAAAACGACACACACCAAGAACAGGAGTTCAACTCCAAACCTGGCTCTGCCTCTGAAATGTTTCCCCGATCAGTGGTGAAACATTTCAGAGTCTGCAGGGCACCGATGATCCCCTGTGGATGATTCAGGCACTTCACAGTTTTATTTACATTCATTTTTCCCACATTTATCCTCTGATCAGTGTTTGTCAAGGTCCCTGCTGCATTTGTTATCTAGTTTCTCCTGCTTTCTCAGTAAGCCGTCTCTTGCTTACTTGCTGTCACATCTTTAACAGTGATGGTAATTTTGTATTTTGATTATTTCCTGTTTTACCTTAAAGATCAGGACGATCATGCGTCTTATTCTGGTTTTACTTCATACTTTTGTTTTTTCCTTCCTTTCACCTGCACTGGACATGCGTTTTATGCATTTGTGCTTCTTCTGTGGATCCCTTTTGTGTGAAAGTCCTTGACTTTGTGAAGCTTTTGGTTCTTTGCTCAACCATGAAAAAACTTTGCTTTCTGTTCATTTTGCTCTTTCATCATCCTCTCTCCAGGTTTCCCTTTAACACAACTGTCAAGGTCCAGGGATGGCTGATTTTTTTCTAAAGCTACACACTGTGTTATTTCTACTTAATAATACTAATCTAAATATATATGTTATATATAAGTGCAATGAAGGTGGTCAAGAAATGGTGAGTCAGTAGTGAGGAAGACTGATAGTGTGTCTTCTTCTGAGAACGAAGAGGAGCAAGGAGAGGAACCATCATGGAAGGACAGGCCCCTGCACGGCATGTACTATCGGCACATAGAAGAAGTAGCTGATATCCAGAAATCCGGACACTGGTGGACTGAAAGACAGCACAGAGACACTAATCATGGCAGCACAGGAACAAGTTCTCAGCACAAGATCTGTAGAGGCTGGATCCACGTGTAAAGATGACCCTGAGACAATCCAAC